AGGAAAAAAAATCTTCCGTGAGAGTGCTAAAATTGGCACTTACATGCTTTCTTTGTTCCTTGGCTAAGTTCTTTTTCTATGTAGCTGCTAACTGTCACTTATGTTATTGAATGTGATTTGAAAATGTTTAAACTTTCTGGATACATAAATTAATAAAACATATAAACACTCTGATAATTATATATTTATGTTTATAAATGATTTTAAAAATAAAGCAATTGCTGCGGTATTAGCGGAATATGGTTCCGCAAATACCACAGAAAAATATCTTCCCTGAGAGTGCTAAAATTGGAAACTACATGCTTTCTTTGTTCCTTGGCTAAGTTCTTTTTCTATGTAGCTGCCAACTGTCACTTATGTTATTGAATGTGATTTGAAAATGTTTTAACTTTCTGGCTACATAAATTAATAAAGCATATAAAGACTCTAATAATTATGTATTTAAGTTTATATAAGTGATTGCAAAAATAAACCAATTGTTGCGGTATTATCGGAATATGGTTCCGCAAATACCACAGAAAACTATCTTCCGTGAGAGTGCTAAAATTGGAAACTACATGCTTTCTCTGTTCTTTGGCTAAGTTCTTTTCCTTTTTTTACATAGCTGCCCAATTGTCACTTATGTTATTGAATGTGATTTGAAAATGTTTTAACTTTCCGGATACATAAATTAATAAGACATATAAACACTCTGATAATTATGTATTTATGTTTATAAATGATTGCAAAAATAAACTAATTGCTGCGGTATTATCGGAATTTAGTTCCACAAATACCGCAGAAAAATATCTTCCGTGAAAGTGCTAAAATTGGCAACTATATGCTTTCTTTGTATTAAAAGTACTATTGTATTAAATACAATAATCAATCGCTTATGAATATATCATAATTTCAAAGGTAAATAAAAGGATGTTATTGCTTAAAAAATCATTGAAAATTCAATGCAAAGGGCACTCATGATAATTCATTTTAGCTTTACTTAGTGCAAATCGCACATAAAATTCAAGAAATATATATTAGTATATATTAATCATATTATTAATAAATATATCATTTTAAATCTTTTTTTCCTGCAAGAAAGCAGTTACGATATTATTATATTCAAATTATGTAGCTGAAACCGTTCGAAGGTCGTGGAAGGTACAATTATCACCAATTTTAAGAGTCCATGGTAAATTATTTTACTTCTTTTATTATGGGTTTCCATTTGTTAATAACGTCAGCTCTATTGAAGTACGTTTGAATAAAATTGGTCACCATTTGCCAGTTTCAGAAAACGCATAAACAGTTATTATAAGTGTAATTCCTTTCGCTGTTTGTAGTATTATTTCATTTTCATAACCGTCGTTGAACAGCCGACCCAATTTTTGGGCTTACGACAACTAATGTTCGATAGCGATTTTGCCATAAACGAGTTCGTTTTAAGATTTTATTGAATTTTTATTACTTTTTTTATTACTGATGTTCCGTAGCTTTATAATTTTGAACGCAAACCAACGCAATTGAGCTAAAATCCGTAGTTTTGTAATTTTGAACGCAATGCAGAAGACAAGGGAGCTTCTGTATCAATCATTTTATAAATTAAAAAAGTTGAAGTCAGTAAGCTCCTTCTTTTTCTTTCTTCCTTTTTAAAAGTCATTCTCTTATTTAAATCTAACTATTAAGTCATAAATACTTTTAGTGGACCTTAGCATCGAAGTTCAACGGTCGTTCAAAAACATTCGAAATAAGGCTATTTTATAGTATAATTTTAACAGTCAATACTTCTTTGCTAACTGTGAACCACAAAGGTATATCTGTCTGTGAATACATACTAATGAGTACTAACTGAAAAAATATATTGGTGATGTGCAGTGTCCCCCCCCCCCAAAAAAAAAAAAATTGGACCACCCTGAATAAATTTTGAGGAATCTTAATGGCTCGTAGGTGTGACCTCAAATATGCTAATTAATTAGTGCACAGGATATTTTAAGTTCCGAAATCAGACACAGTAACGTACTTTCTCTGAATAAACATGCCTTTTTTTCTACGGATTCGGTTTTTTGACTCCCAAATTGTAAGGGGTACCCGCAATCCGGGAAATATGGTTCCCATAGTTTGATCTACAGATAATTGAAAGTGAGAGGTCCACATTGGTACATTAAGTCACAGTAACGCTGTCACATTAAAATACATGCATAAAAATAACAAAATTTGACTTAGCTCCTTTTCATACATTTTCAAATACCTCATATTTCTCGGGATTTGAATATAACTTGTTATCTTAACACGTTAACGCCGGGAAAAGTGAAAATAATGGCACGGCAAAAGAGAAAATACTGGTGGAAGAACTATTTCAATATTAGATAATGTTCGGGAGGAGTTAATCTATTCTCAACAATAACATTTCACTGTAAGGAAATTTATCACGACGAAGAAGCAATTCAATATAAAAATTGAATCCGTTAAAAACAATTGGTAGATGAATTTTTATTATTCCTGGAAAAGAACTAGAAAATGAAATTTATTGTTACCAGTTTTTACTCCGGTGCGCTGCCAAGATGAGACAATCTAGCGTAACCCACCGGTGGGTCACCCCGGCTTGAACGTGTTAAACAAAACTTTTAGTGATTTGCATTTATTTAAAGTACCAAAAAGTAAGAAATTTGGTTTTTAGCTGTGTCGACAAAATTGAAAAAAAATTAATAAAAATAATATTTCTACCTTATATTTTTCTAAAAGCAATTCGAATGCTTTTAAACGTCATGTTAACTAAAAATTATGTTTTGTAGAAACCTAAATTTATAATTACGTTTATACCTGCACGCATATATTTACTATAAGTTTTAGCTTCATTTTCAAGAAAATTCTTTTTACCTCCAAATAAAATTAAAACATAATATTTTTATATAGAAAGAAAATTGTATTTACCATAAAAAAAAGAACGAAAAGAAAAAAATTGTAATCTTATTAATCGACTAGATTAAGTGCTCACGGAATGAAAATAAAATTACATGACGTCAACAACGGCATTGAAAAAAAATAATTAATTAGGCAGATAAGAACTATGCTTCTTACAAATGTTATCGGTCGAGGATAAATTATAGAAGATAGAAGTTTTTTTTTAATAATGAATAGCTTCGTATTAAAATAATAATATATTTTAGTTCCTTAATTTACTTAACACCTGAACTTAGGATGAAATTAAGCTCTATATATAATTAAGCCTTAGACATATTAGAAGATTAATGTGAAATATTTATCCCGCTTACATAATTCAGCAATTAATTTCATAATTTTTTTTCCTTAACTTCAAATATAGAACAGAAAACAATATTGGTACTAAATTTCGGTTTTTGACTAATCTTGAGGGATCATATTTTCCAGATTTGTTTCACTTTTAGCTTTGATGCTGCTGCTGTTAATTTACGTCGCAATAGAGCTGCACAATGGGCTATTGGCGACGGTCTGGGAAACATCCCGGAGGATGATCCGAAGACATGCCATCACAATTTTGATCCTCTGCTGAGGGGATGGCACCCCCGCTTCGGTAGCCCGACGACCTGCACGCGAAGTCAAGCACCTTACGGTAGCACACTTTAACGAGGACCAATACCGCACCCCCTCGTTCCCTACGCAGACTGATCCAAGTGGTCACCCACACGCACACTGACCGCAGCCAGTGATGCTTGACTTCGGTGATTAATAAATTAAAAAGAATAAATGAATTTTAGAACAAAGGATTATTGTTTATATAACGTTGTAGTTTAATTATAAGATTGCTTTTTTAATTATAAATGTTATAGTTACCAGTATTTTTAGTTATTTATTAAAATTATCTGTCCTAGGAGAGTATTAAAAATGGCTTCGCAATATCCTAAGTACCTAGGTTTTTCTCTTTTATTCAAAGAAACCCTTTTAAATTGAAAAAAAAAAATGTGGAAAAAATGCATTTTTGAAAATTATAGATTTAGGGGAACATTGGCTAAGCAAGATTTTAAAGAATCTACGTTAATCCCTTTTATCCAAAAAAAGAAAACTCATTTCAAATTTAAATAAAAGTTGTATGAAAAATTTTATTTTTTAAAATTATGAGGCTTGGGGAGAATTAGGAATGGCTCCGCGAGATCCTAAAGTAGAGCCATGCTCATATGTGGTGGTTATCTTAGCATCAGCCCCACTAGGGGCTCTAACTAATTCATGTGAGTGGGAATAAATAAAAAATCGCCGAAGCGCAAATGAATGGTGAAATTGGGGTTCAGTAATATTTACTGGGTGAAAATTAAAATTAAGTAGCGAGATTAAACAAACAAATTTAAGAGAGAGAAGAGGTTTTTGTGGCAGACTGCCTCGCCTCTCTTCGAGGTATTACCCCCGAACTTCTCAGGTGCACAGTAGCCACATAGCCTCAGAGAAAATGAAAAATGCATGATAATACATGCGCAAAAATATATGCAAGTATTTGCAATTATTTACAAAATTTACGGGACAAAACTCCATCGGATAGGAAAAAGGCGGTGGCCGGGCTATATTTTATATTGTCTTTGATTAGCTTAAAATCAAAGTTTTTAAAGTAGTTGCATGTATCACAGGAGAGTGCATCTCTGAAGAAACTTGCACATAGTTCAGCTATATGCGCATCTACTTTGTTGATTTTTAAATCTCTTCTTAGATCTTTCATTCTCATGGATCTGGGGGCTCCAGTGATGTATCTGAGAAATTTGTTTTGAGTACTCTCCAGTTTCTTCTTTTGAGTATCCTAAAGTAGAGACGTTATTCCCTTTTATTCAAATAAAAAAAAATGTCTTTTAAATTGGAAAGACAAATGTGGAAAAAATTGCATTTACAGTATGCATATATTTGGTTGACAATAAGAACATGTGTCCCAGACTACTAATAACTGGCTTACGTAATATTTGGAAGGCACAAAAGTTTAATTGTAAAGACATGATGTTCAATTGTTAGTAACAAATTTTTTGATGTAGTTTCGCATAAATTAATTTTTCTATTTGTTTTTGTAGTGCTTGATTCATCGGGTCGCATACCAGAGGGATTTTTGCAAGGAACGGTAACGTCCATGGGAAATTATGATGAATGCTTGGCGATCAACGTAAATGAAACGAAATTGAAATTGAGAGGACAGTACTGCACTATTGAAATACACCCACCTCTACCTGTGTGGAAACCATTCACACCACTACATCAAACTGTACCGGAATTACTCAATATTTCTGCTCCAGATTCAGTAAGTATTCTGCAGTCAAATTATAAATTCATTGTTGAAAACTTTCATTCGCATGTTTTTGTTTGATGTATGTATGCCATACTTATGCTCTCTCTAGCATTTGAAGTTTGAGAGGAATATTTTTTCCCAGTGGTAGAGTATTTAAGCAGAAATTTTTATAAAGTTTATAGAAGCACAGCCATTAGTTCCTCTGACCCTTTATGAATTTATTTAAATAATTTATATGCGATGACGAACAAAATTTTTTTATTTCTAATTTATTCAAATGTATATATTACATTTGCTAGAACTAGGAAAAGCAATGACTGAAACTACGGAAATGTTTTAGAACTAGTGGGCTGAACCCCCTGCTTGCTAACCCCCGAAAATTGCTTCGTAAACCAAGCTCGCTTCGCTCGCTACTAACGTAGGTACATTGCAAACGCACAAAATTCTAAGAATTCAAAACAATCATTCAAATCCATATAAAAACTTTTTTTTATAAAAAAAATAACATCTTTTTAGTAAGACCAATAGTAACCGATCTACCCCCGAAGGAGTTTGCGGATAAGGGTTTCACCAGTTTGCACGTGACTAAACACTTCCAAACTACAGAAAAGTAAAAGTACAAAATTAAAAAGATTAAAACACATAGGAAAAATCCCAAACTCGAAAAAGTAAAATAAAAATAAAACGGAATAAAAATTAAAAGTGCTTAAAACATTAAAGTGGATAAAATCAACCGACAATAAAAGTGTCAAAAATACAGGTAAAAACATATAAAAGTAAGGTCAGGTAAAACATCAAATGGTAAAATATGAAAAATCACATTAAAAAACAAATAAGACTGAAATAAGCTTAGTAGAATAAATAAAATAGTCGACTAAAAGTTCAAGTGTCTCCCTTTCAAGGCTAAGTGCCTCTAAGATTAAAAATGTTCTAAGGTAAACCAAAGTTTCACTGAGAGGATAACACTCAAAGATGACACCAGGTAAGACAGAGGGTGCTGAATTTGACCAAGAGCAAGATTTCATTTCGAATGTCCCATGTATAATGAAGATGCCAGTTCAAGGGGAGAATAAAGTCATGGAAACGGCAAGTGCCGAAGTAAAATACTAAAAGCAGAAATTTAAAACCAGAAAACCTAAAAGCCGAAAGTTTAAAAATAAAACCAGATAAAATTAGTCAGGTGTGCTCGCAGGGGCAAGCAGATCATCGAGGGTATATTTAAGAATTTCGATGATTTTCTCCCTGCAGTCAATATCAGCATAAAGTTGATGTTGAGTGTATTGATCCCATTTTCTGCCNTCAATTACTTTTCTTTATAATGCAATAAAATCTGGCGAGCAGCTATTTAAACGATCAAACACTTCGCTTGTTTATTTGTGGCTTGAAGTTAGGCTCGCAGAAAATGCCGTTCATGGGTTAAATTTAGTAGGAATAACACAACCTGTGACGTAGGCTATAGTATACCCAATTGTGGTCGATTCGCCGTGTAAGAGAAATAGTAACGAAAACAAAACAAAGCAAAGGTTGCCACCGGCGGAAAAGAAATACTGCCAAAATTTGGGAGCCACGTAAGAGAATTATATATATTAGATATAAAGTGTATGCATACTATGTTTCATGTTTTTCTTTAAGAAAATCAGAGTTGAAAGTAAGACAGTAAAAATGTAAAACAGGTAATAAGCCATATTATTTATAGTGGTTTTTGTGAGACAAAATAAGCTTTCATTTTTCTTTCTCATAAGCTATTGATTTATTTTCTCTTTGAAAGAAATCTTGGTATTTAAAAGATATTTTTAAATTTTAAAAAACAAGCCATAATGAAATGTTTTCCTCACAAATTTTTTTTTCTCTTTTCCGTCTTGATTTATATTAATTTCTATCCCTGATGAAAATTCTGAACAATAAGTGACCCCCATGTGCTCTGTCTTAGGGTCAAGAAATTGTTTTTATTTCTACATACAGGGCTGTCTCGGACGACTGAAAATACAAAATGCAGCGACTAATAAAATTCAAAACTTTAATGAACGAGATTAAAATAAGCAATTTTTTACAGCATATTTTTTATCAGTTTACAAAAAGTTAGTAAAAATATTTCTGGTTTCAATAAGAACAATTTGAAACGTAAGCATAGTGGTAGTAGTTACAATTCAATAATTAAAGAAATCATCAATAAAAAAATGAATTGAGTTACCTTTTTTATATTTTACCTTTTTATTCGTTCATTGCATCCCCGTCTCTTTCCACGGTTGACTAAAAATCCAAAAAGTGGTGACTAATAAAATTCAAAATTCTATTTAAAGAGATTAAAATTGGTACAAGGTTCTCACGACCTTGAAAAAATGAATAAGGGGTACCTAAAATTTTTCAAGACTATAGAAAAATGCTTAAATTTTACTTTTATTTGAGAATTACGAAATTATCCGCAAGGTATTTTTTTTTTGCTCCCACATATGTTTAGATCAAAATATAAATCTTGAAACATCTAGATTTATCTCACTTATGCTACCACTTTAAATAATTTTCCAGACCGTGAGAATCCTGCTGGTAACTTTTTCTAGCATATTTTTTGGCAATTTACAATTGAAAGCGACTACAATGAATGTCTTTGCTTTAAATATGAATAATATAAAACTTAAATCCGTTCACATTCGCTGAATAATTAATAGATAATAAAATACGCAATTGAGTTTCAACCGCTTATAAGAATTTTTGTCGCGTCTGGCTTCCCTGCTAATCCTCATCATCATCGAAATATATCTGGGCGCCTGGGGCCGTTAGCGGCCTTTTTCCCATTCGTCTTGTATTGTGGTCTTTAAGGTGATTCTTTTTGGTAATTGGAATGCAATTGGAATAAAAGGAAATTAAATATTTTGTATTTTAGTTCAGATTACCTCACTACAAAAATGAGCTGCCATCGGTCTGAGGTTTATATGCTTCCCTGCTAACTTATTCTTCTTTATTTAAATAAACTGGGCTCCTGGGCCGTGAAGCGGCCCCTATCCCATTCATCATTAAATTACATACAGTAAGGTAAAAAACATTGATTTGGCAAACATTGTGGTAGCCATGAAAAAAATCAAGCCGTTTGCTTGTGAAATAATAAAACAATGAAAAAATTCAATATGACAAATTGGCGTTTTTACATAACACTAGAAATATTAATGGTAGACTTAAATTAAAAATAAAGATAAAACATGATTTGATATGTACAATAATTGATTTTTGAAAAATGAAAGACATTATTGATGAGCTTCCCTGCTAACAAAACTGGTACATATCAAGACAAATGAGAGTAAAAACTGGTAAAAGAGAAATTTTATTTTTATTTTTTTTGGAGGGGGAGGGGAGAATAAAATAACTATGACTACCAAAATTTTTAACACCTGCAATACATGCATCAGACTGCTTCTTCTCCCGGCGGGGTGTTAAAATGCAATGTTAAGTAGAGATTTATTCCACCTAAAAAACCATCTATTTTTGAGATGGTTTTATTACGGGCGATTAAAAATGTAAAAAGTGATAGAAACGCAATTCCAATTTATTTATTATAGCTTTAATTGTAACTACCGCTATGACTTCAAATTATTCATACTTAAAGCAAAAACAATATTGTTATTTACATTCATTCCATTAAAGAACAACGATACGATAGTATATACGGAAAATGATAAAATCAACGTGTTTGCTAAAACCATGCAAGTTTTCTTTAAATGCCGAACCTTATTGCCCCTACAATGATCAGTATGTTAAAGAGGAATTTCAAAAAATTATGAACACACCCTGTTCTATCAAGGCATTCAGAATACTAACGATGACGAAATAATTAATATCATTAGAAAATTAAAAAATAGAAAGGCACCAGGGCATGATAATATTACTAATGAGATGCTTAAGAATGCCCCTCCAAATATAATACCAATACTAAGTAACATCTTTAACGTCTCCTTCAACCACTGCTATTTTCCTGATTGCTGGAAAAAATCAGATGTAATTCTCTTTCCAAAACCGGGTAAAGATACTTCAAATCCAAGTAACTTCAGACCCATTAGTCTCTTGCCTACGCTATCAAAGGTTTACGAAAAGCTTATCTACAGTAGAATTAATAAATACCTTTATAACTTACCCAAACAACAGTACGGGTTCAGACAAAATTTGTCTACCACCAAACAAATTATTAACCTACTAGAATTCATTAGCAATGGTAAATATAAAAATGAAACAATGGCCCTTATCCTGCTCGACGTCGCGAAAGCGTTCGATCGAGTATGGCATAAGGGTCTAATTGTAAAATTAAACAATATGAGCTTCTCTATTGAAATACTAAGGCTGTTAAGTTCATATTTAATTAACAGAGAATTTAGAATTAAATTAAATAATAATTATTCTGACTACAAAAAAATTTACGCGGGTGTACCGCAGGGTTCAATTCTGGGCCCTGTTCTGTACATCCTGTACACTGCAGATTTTCCGACTAATGATGATAACCTAAACGAGTTTGTAGCACTATATGCTGATGATACGGCTATCATAACTAAGTCAATGAATACAAAACGCGCTATTACCCTGCTACAAGATAAACTACAAGTAGTTGAAACATGGTGCAGCAAATGGCGCACAAAACTACACCCCGACAAAAGTCAATTCTTAATCATAAATAGTAAGAAAAAACAACAAAATACTCCCCACATCTATCTCTTTAATACTGAGATCAAACCAGTGAAACACGTTAAATACCTCGGCGTCACGATCTCATATAATTTGAGCTGGAGTACTCACATAAACGACATAATCAAAATAGCCAGAGGAGCGTTTTCTGCTCTCAAAGTCCTCCTGCGTAAGAATTCAAAGCTTGATCTAGCAAATAAAAGAACTATCTATATACAAGCGATTCGACCAATTCTTACGTATGCTTGCCCACCCCTAACTACTATAAGCAACAACCTAAAAAAGAAGCTATCTACAACCAAAGGTAAATTTTTACGCACAATGACTGGCGCCCCAAGGGCGATTAGCGATAGATTACTCAGAAAAGACTTAAACATTGATGATATCAATTGCTTTATAGCTAAATTGACAACAAAATTTTACAGCGACGCAAAAACATGCACCACATCAGATTTCAATAAATTGTTCGATATTGGTATAATCCATGATAATTCGAATTTCAGCCCAATTACCGCCTTTTCATGCTCAGACTGCATACTATCAAAATACTATTAACTTTATCATACAACTCTACTCAGGGGGATCTTCCCATTCCAAAGATGATTTTCCCTTCAAAACTAAAGATTTACTTCTTTAAGGACTTGATTTGTTGTTACAACATACTACAACTTCAAAGATATATAGGACCTCCCAGAATACAACAAAACAGAATCGATGAATCGGTTAGTGGCGCTTCGCGCCAAACGCCGAGATAACCCCAATATCCAGCATCCAGTATTTACATTCACCCAAGTGCTTGAAACATTCATAAAAGCAACTCCACTGCCTGATTACCTCAATGTTCAACCAAAACATAGGACTAGGATTTACATTCACCCTACCGATAACTAACCTTATGTTAGTATACCGATAATGCCTTTCCCCAATTATCAAACTATGAGTTATCTTCAGCTTTTTACTTAACTTAATACTCAGATATGACTGTAAATTCGCAGAGGCTTCGCAGCCAACACTCGAATCTTTTTTGCCAAAGCCATTTAGTCTCAGCTATTATACCATTACATCAGATGAAGGAGTGAGATGCCCGCTTTGCAGGCAGGTACTCTGCTACACCACATATCAAGTATTTACATTCAATTAAAGGGCCGTAAGGCCTCAGACGCCCAGTTCCACTACAACGAACGAACGATTCACATTCAATTGTATATAGAAAGAAAACAAATACTACCTAAAGCTGCCAATTTTATTATTATATAATAAATTTATGAGTTTATTAAGTCACCATCTTTTGAATTTTTAGTCACCCATGGCAACATTGCGATTTTTTTCCGTCTCACTTTTAGGACTGGTCTCCCGTAAAATACCTGTTTCCAGCATTTTATAGCGGTAAACATTTTTGTTTTATTAATCAATTTCGTAATATACGTTCCATATTTTCCTTAAAAATTTTTAATTCTAAATCTAAAACATCTATCAATTCTCTGTAGCAGTTGCATGTTTTGTTCAAAGAATCAGTGCTAATCAATAAAACAGTTGAATAGTTCTAGCGTTATTAAATTTTTATTTCTCAAAAACTATTCTACTGATTTCTTTAAAATTTTTAAAATTTAATGTATCATAAAAAAAAAACATTTTTTTTCCTGGAGTTAAAGAAATTCCAATTCACTTGAGATACTAAGCTGCATACCTGCCAACTTTTAATTCCTTCCATTATGATTTTTCCCAGTGGTATTAAAATGGAATAAAAATTTCATTTTTAAGCAAAAAAATACGCTGAATTTGAAAAGACTTAAGCTGCCAACCATTATAGTAACACATATTTATATATATGCTTAATTTTTTTAAGAATAGTGGTGATAAAAATCATCTAAAAATTTAATTTATAAAAGAAAAAATAGTATATATTTACTACCACTTTAAATATAAAAATAAAATTTTACGCCAAATGCGTAAAAGTTGGCAGGTATGAGGCTGGTGTTATGCTGTAATTTATTTAACACATGTAAATACTTCTTTCTTTTCTTTATTTAAAATAAATTGGGTGCCTGGGCCGCGCAGCGGTCCCTGACCTATACATCATGAAATAATTTACAGTGTATTAAAACATTTTGTGTTATGCTACATTATGGTGGCATATATATAAACACTTATAGAGGGCTAGCAGGCTACCGTATATAGTTAAATAATGTAAATGTAACGGTAGTCAAAATCATTTTTCATTGTATTAATTTTAACAAAAGTAAAATGCGGTTATATAAATTTTTCTACCGCAATAAATAAAAACTTAAAATCTTCCGAAAAATCCAGAAAAGTTGGGTGGTATAAAATTATTTCTAAATTAAGTGTTAACTTTAGGAAGACTTGGACCATTCATATCATCCCAGCATAAATGTTTATATTTTTAGTACATAATAGTAAACAATATTAATTCGTTTCTGAAAACGAATGATACCACTCATTACCTTCTTTTAAAAAAAAGGAACCAATCTTTAACCCTTTCGCGCCGACTGTCACAAATACGTGTCAGCATAAAACCGTATCAATCAGGGTAAAAAGATAAAACTGCTAACCAAAGTAGTTCTTTAGTGGTTAATTTGTGGGTTATAATTGTTTGATTTATTTAATTCACCATTACTTTAGTTCAAAATAAAATTATTAAGTTATACTTTGAACTAACATTGATTATATATATGATTAAACTAACAATAATTAAAGTCAAAGCAAAATAAATCTGTCAAATTAGCAACGCCTGCATTTAAGCTACCGTTTTTTATTTATTTACATCCTAATTCTGATTTTTTACGAATGCTTTTATGAATAACCCGTCCCCAAGAGATTAAATAGGCATAAAACAAGCATAAAAGTATTTTTTATCTGTTCTTCTAATTAAAAAATATTCCTATTCTCAACAAAAACATTCACCAATAAAAGAACCGCGTTCTGACTTTAACTAAATTTTTCTTTTAAAGAGAAATTATACACGTTTACTTTATGTGTACTGAAAAATTATTTACATGAAAATGCAAGCAAGTTATCCCTTATCTCCATAATTTTCGAATAGAATATTTAAATTATGAGAAGAATTAAATAAGATGCCTAAGTTACTGCAAGAAGAGATTTGAGATATATTCCATAAATTTCAGAATTCTGAATAAGTTTCGGTCTGGGCGAAATGCAAAAAAAGAACGTAATTCCTCATGAAAATTCTTAACCGCATTGAAATGGTGGGCGTTCCCAAATATTTCTCAGAAAATAATAATTTTGAATTTTAGTTTGTTTCCAAAGTGAATTAAGAGGCACCATAGGTTGCTAGGATATACCCATGATTTCAAGCCTACAGAGCTGCCAACTCTCAACGCGTTTTGGGAAAACTTGTTCTACTGGTAGCTAAGTTTATGTTTTAATACCCGATTCTCATAAAATGTTTAAAAAAAATACCGAAAATTCTGAAAGCTGCATACTTTCTTACCAGTTTTTACCCTTTACAGTCTTGGTATTTCTAGGAAATCACAGAGTACCTAGTCCCCGCAGGGCTATCGACTCTTTCAACTAGGTCAGGACAATAATGAAAGAAATAGATTAAGGTGCTGGATGCTGGATATTGGGGTTATCTCGGTGTTTGGCGCGAAGCGCCACTAACCGATTCATCGATTCTGTCAAGTGGTAGCATTGATTAAGGTCATTGAGACTAAATATTATGTGGTAAAAATTTTAACATTTGGAGTGGCAGATAAGGTATAATTGATAAGGTATTTGATCTACTGGAGATTTTTTTAATAGTAATCAGTCGTTATTTAAAGAGACAAATTTTCCAGATAAAGTTGTTAGAGATCTGACTAATGGAATGAGGTTTCCTAATGAATAATATCCTAAGTTTAACACGTTGAATGCCATGGGGGTCACCGGTGGCAGGCACTGAGTTTGTTCGTATTGCCACGGAAAATACATATAGTAATGAGCATTGAGTCTTTTAAAAGGTCGGTATCCTTCTTGATAATGTAAAAAGTGCTCGCGTCATGGTTTTAATATCAACATTTCTTTTCCTAAAGTTAGTAAGTAATGTCCGCCAAGCCGAAATTTCTAGCATTCTGCTTATGATAATTTTAATAGGGAAATAACTAATTACGCAATAGTTTTAATATATTTAAACATCACCGTTCGTTGTAGTGGAGCTGGGCGTCTGAGGCCTTACGGCCCTTTTCCCATTCATCCTGAAATTAGACTAAGAAACATACACAGGGGTCTGTCCAGACATTTTGTGAAAGGTCCGTTTTTCGTGAAATTGTGAAAAAATTACTCACATTCTTTCAACCAGGGTCCGCTTTTATGAATTTGTGCAAATAGGGTCCGTTATTGCAAAAAAAAACTTTTTCAAGGAGTTTTTAAATTGTAAAGACATACAAGATTATGCTCAACACTGTAAAATTATAATTAAAAAAATTAAATTTTAAAAAATAAACAACAATTGCTGCTTCTAAATTAGAGATGCAACATACAAATATTTGGTATTTAGCCTATACTGCTGAACGCAGAATATTAATTTCGGACGAATAATGGAAGAATCGTCTGCCGAAGACAAAACTTAATTCGTTTACATCCATCTTTCTTGTTTTCTGCCCTGGAAAGGGTTTATTCGATTAACAAAATAATAATGAAGATAAACAAATTTGTGAAGGGTCCGATTAAAAGAAAAATCATTTTGTGAAGGGTCCGTTTTTAAGTTAAAATATTTTGTGAAGGGTCCGTTTTTATGAAAAGATATTTTGTGAAGGGTCCGTTAACGGACCCAAATTTCTTCTAAACAGACCCCTGATACATGACAAAAAATAAAGTTTGGGGAGCAAAATGGAGTTCTTGAGAGAAAAAAATGGCAAAACATCACAGTTTTTTTTAACTTTATTTGACAAAAGCTGGGCACCTGGGCCGCGCAGAAGACCCATATTCATCATGAAATTATTATAGACAAGTTAAAAACAATAAACAATAAATTATTCAGGAGTCTCTGGGGTGACTGAAAAACATCACAGTTATCTTAATAGATTTCGATTTATGTTTGACTTATTCAAAATGGCTAAATTAATTTTAAACTTTATATTAACAATTTCGATTTGAGATTCAAGAAATTTTATTATTTATTTTATCTATGAACAGGTTATCACCTATATTGCAACGATGTTGCATAACTTACATGTAGTATCAGTGAAGCTTGGTATATGTACACCATCCCCATGTACAAGGGAAGATATTAGCCACCTGGTGCAAATAAGTAAGTAAAATTATCATATATAAAGTCGATATTACATTTTGCTTTAAATTAAATCACCTCGGGGAGTTCTTTATGAAGCTACTGGTCCCTCGACCTCGATGTGCTACAATAATTCATCTGCTTTTCTCGTTTTTTTTTTTATTTTTTTTTTTAAATTTTGCTCTTAATGAAGTTTATCTGCTGTACCTGGAGTACGTAGAGTACTTATTTTCGTTTTTGTCACCCAGTACAGTCGAATTTCATATCCATCCTTATTGGCTGTTGAAACGCGACATTTGATTATGTTAGAAACTGTTCTTTCCTTTTTATTTCGAATAAGCCAAGTCCGTCAAGTATGAATTCTCTTACGTGACACATTTTATATTCTTTCACAAAGATTTCAATGCTTTTACTATTTATTTCCTACTCAACAAAGAAACTGGCGCGAAGCAGAATAATATTGTGTCATAGTATAAAGTAAAATAATGGCAACAGATACTTATTTTTCTTTTTTGGAAAAATTAAATTTATTAACTGCTGAAATAAAAAATTAGATTCCAATCATACTAATAAAAACACAAATATTTGTCATCATATAATTAAAACGAATATAAATACATCGAGGAAAATAATTATTGACTTGAGCAACTAGCAAAATGAACAAATTAGCCATTTGAATTACTTTTCTGTCTTTAAAATTTCTTATCAGACATCTTTTACTACCTGTGGTGACAGAATAATTGCCGACATTTTACTATTTTAGATTTCCTCATCAATAAATAAACCAGTTTATGATTTTCGTAGCTCATCAAAACACCTTGGCCAAAAAATTTCAAAATTTAGTATTGGAACAATGAAAAGATTATTCAAAAGAAATTTTCCTTGAGCTTTAATAGTTGTTTTACAGCTCTTTTCATGTATAACTATTCAAAATGATTTTAACACGAGAAACACGACAGACAATAAAATTTGTTTTCTCATTTTTATTATTGTTTCGTTCTAAATTAGCTAACTATCCGTTTTTCGTATGGGAACTACTGAAAGGCTCGTACCGACGTGTTACTATTTTATTTTTATTATTTATTGCATTTTCCGGTAACTTTACATTTTTAGATTATTAAAAAAATTCACTTATCCAACAATATATATAAAAACTATACTCGGACAACAAAATGTTATTGATTGTGGCGAATACGCAATTATTACATATTTTAAGAGTCAGGTTTTATATACCTGTATTTAACAGCAGTTGCGATGGCTCATGGTTAAGGCACTTAATTGTCATTGTGAAGAACTTTGGTTCGATCCATAATGGCGGCTTGAAGCCAGCCCCCAGATTCAGATCAATAATACCAGCTTGTCTCGGACGCAGGGCCCGATTTAGCCTAATTGGAACCCGGGGAAAAACTTCTTTGGGGGCCCCCCTTTGCTTCTCTACTTCAGTAATAAATAATTGAACTTCATTTAGGTATATAAATTTTTCACCTCATTATACATGTATAAGCAAGAAGTTGACTAGAACCTAAAATAGCAAGTCCAATTCAAGTCCACCCCTACAATGGTCAGACGAAATATCGTTCTGTTCATTTTCTTGATTTCTGACAATTCTTTGCCCATCATACCGAATGCAGTTTTCTGATTGCTGACTTTGTCATCTAGCTGCGAAAAATTCATATCCTTGCTGACGTTAGAGCGAAATACAGCTAAATTTTCGCAATTACGATGACTCACTTAAGCCAATCAGAAGCCTGTATTTTTGTAAAAATATCTTTTGCTATATGTAAAAATACAGGCCAAATTTTTCCATCGTAATTGTAAACATTTAGCTGAATTCCGCACTAGAAAGCCATGGATTTTCAAAATATAGATTTATTGTGTTCATACGATACATTAATGAAGAAGCTAACATAAAACTGGCAGATTTTATACTGTACTAATATTTTGTTTAAAAAAAAGTACATTAATGAATGAAGCCTAAAATAAACTTTCAATTCGATTTGGAGGCCCCCTCTGATGTGGGGCCAGGGGCAACTGCCCTTATGCCCCTGCCTTTGTCAGGCTCTGCTCGGAAGTAAAGGTTGTCTGTGCGCTGTGCTGCCCCTATTGCCCCAATCATGCCGTTGGTCACAAAATTGTGAAGCCTTAACCTCTATGAACCATAGCGGGATTTTGCGGGAATGTTTTCTTTTTATTTAATTAGCAGATAAGAGGTTTAGCACTTTTAGCTGCCGATCTCGCTTCGGGACTAGACAAAATTCATCTTAAGAGTTTGTGTCGATAATACAGATCAAGTGGTAGCAAGACGCAACTAGTTTCGCTGAAAATATAATATTTTTACCCAATGGTAACATCTTGTTTCTTGAAGTAAACTTATTGTGAATTTTAAGAACTAAAATGGTTGCTTAAATAAGAAAATTTAACTTTGATTTTATCTTTGTCGATTACCACTTTTCAGTGATACATACAGTATAACCACTGATATTCAGCTGGTAGTGATCGTATAAAAAGAACTAATACTCACTATACGGAACTAGTGAACGTGTAAAAAGAACTAATACTCTCTATACGGAACTAGTGATCGTGTAAAAAGAACTAATACTCACTATACGGAACTAGTGAACGTGAACGCATAGATTTTTACGAAAATAGTCCACAAAAAATGACAACTAATGTATTTTAATTCGCGGTCCTATAAAAAAGGCCTCGAGGGCCGCCAGTTTGTAACCACTGATCTAGATAATTAAAAATTCTTTCATATTTGTTTACCTCAAAGCATTAATTACTCAAATTAAGATGTTTTAAGGCTTGTCGTATTTTATAACTATTTGCTTTTAATACGTTACTATAAATAGCTAGAAATATATGTCTGTAAAAGCATTATTTTTAATTTTCAGTTCCTGAAAAGTTAAACCTTAAATGGAAGTTTGAAGTGAAGCATTGCGAAATAGAACAGGATCTACAATTTACTAAATCCCAATTGATTGTTCTGTAAGTATTAAGAACAAATTATTCTTTAATAATTTTCGTAAAATTTTTTTTATCGTATTATTTTTTCATGGATATAAAATAACTATCAGCGTATAAGCAGAGTTGCCAACTTGCTTGGGACTGTGGATAAATATTTTATAGTGGTAGTAGTCTTTAAATATATGATTCTTGGTTTAGCAAATTCGATTTATAGGGTTTTTACCCACCATTACTTCTAAATAATTCAAAGACTTATGTGAAATGCAACTTTCTTACAATTGCACCCCAGCTAGCTGCTAGCATAAAAGTTCAGTTTAGTACAATTACGCTATTTAGAACCTCTTAAAAAGTTGGCAAATTTAATCAAAAATCTGCAAAATTTAGTCTATAGTTTAAAAATATTTTGTTGATTTCGGAGCAGTTAGCCTCCATGAATAAGAATTCAGTATAAAATAGCTGCCTTAATTTGGAGATATACAATTTTAGGAAACTAAGATCATGCTGAAACTTACTCAAGCTGGGATTGGTTGCTCCTATTACATGCACAGAATTGTCAACTATTTTTCTTCTAAAAAACTTTATACTAAGTCAATTTTTCAGACTTCTTATTTTATGTAATTGCATTTTTGTTCTTCACTTTTTTTATTTTTACTTTTGTTCTGCTAACATTTTCGCCATCTTGAAATTTATATAAATTATTCCCAAATATATCACCAAGAGTTAATAAGATTCCACGGACATCAAATTTTATAAGAATCAGATTGAAAAGCAAATTTATGTATTTTTAAAACTTAAGTTCTTGAATTAATGACCTTAACCTTTGACATTTTTCTTTTTTTAAATTCTAAAGAATGTGCACGTTTTCACGATTGAAAGAAATCTTTTTTCAGCGGGAAGCTTGAGGTTTGCTTTTTTATCGAGAATTAATTTTTCTGCTCCACATGAGTTGATCTTGCATTCATTTTCAGTTCATTGAAATGTCTGATAGCACTTAAGAATTAACTTGGCAATTTATGAAGCTTCTGCTTCAATCCATTCATGTGACACAGGAACACGCACCTTAAGCTAAATATACTGCTGAAAGTTCATAAGTTCAAATACGCAAGTTCTACGCAAAATATTACATCATCAAAATCGAAGTGCGTTTCACATACGTACAAATCTGTTTTCAAATTATTTAAAAACATTTTAATATTCCATAAAAATAAGTTCCATAGAAGTAAGTTATTACTTATTGATGCTGAAACTAGGCTTAATTGCGTTAAACACATTTAAATCTCGTTAATCTTAAAAATTACGTATATGCTAAATATTATGTTAAGATTATCTATGCTAAACATTACATCATCAAGATCAAAGTGCGTTTCACATACGTTGCTGTTTTAAAGTAAAATTATAAATTTGTCCAAAAACATCGTATAGGAATGTACTTGCATACCTGCCAACTTTCACTCCTTCCGAGAATGGACTTTCAGAGTGGTTGTAAAACAATAACCGAAAATCAATCTGATTCAAAAATATATTTATATTTTGATCCCGTTGAAATTTGCTTGCGTAAAGTTTATTATGTTTTGATATATCTATTGTAATTATTTATATGTAGTGGTGGTCAGACTCATCTATAATTATCATTATAATTCAAAAGGTTAATTGGAATAACCTGAGTATTGCTACCAATTTAAATATGAAAATAAAATCTTCCGGAAAATCCGGAAGAGTTGGCAGGTATGTACTTGCTAGGAAGTTTTAAAATTTTAGATTAACTAATAAAAGAGTTCCCGAACAGTGGATTATCGTGAAAATACAGAAAATCTGTTATTAAATTGTTCAAAAACATTTTATTATTCCATAAAAATAAGTTATTACTTATTGATGCTAAAACTAGGTTTAACACGTTCACGCTGGGAAAAGTGAAAATACTCGTACAGGAAAAGAAAAAATACTGGTAGAAGAACTATTTCAATATTAGATAATATTCGGTAGGAGTTAATCTATTCTCAACAATAACTATTCAATGTAAGGAAATTTATCACGGCGAAGAAGCAATTCAATATAAAAATTGCATCCGTTAAAAACAATTGGTAGTTATGGATTTTTATTATTCCCGGAAAAAAACTAAAAAATGAAATTTATTGTTACCAGTTTTTACTCCGGTGCGCTACCAAGATAAGAAAATCTAGCTTGACCCACCGGTGGGTCACCCCGGCGTGAACGTGTTAATTGAGTCATACACATTTAAACCTCGTTAATTTTAAAAATTATGTATGGGTAATTTTGTGTACAAAAGATTGCTACTTTTAATAAATACGTAAATTGTAGCTTAGAAATAATACACAATCCATTAACTATTTATGTTAAATAGTTTTTTAATAAAAGCTTTTTCTGGGTGTTTAATTTTATAAATATTGGAAAGGATGAAAAAACATGTAGCTGCTGAACACACTGATCTATTTATTTAGTT